CACCTGAGAGCGCCTGGGGGCGCCTGGAAGCGATTGGGTGCGCTTGGGAAGCGCCTGGGGCGCCGAGAGCGCTTGGAGGCGCCTGGGAAGCGCTGGAGCTTGTGAGCGCTTGGGAGCGCCGGGGAGCGCCCGAGTGTGCGTGGGAGCGCCCAGGAACACGTGGGAGCGCCTGGGAGCGACTTGGGGCGCGGACGCAGGTGGTCACAGCCACTGGAGCCTTCAGTGAATGTCCTTGTGGGACCACGAAGCGCTGTACTGGATGACGCGGACGCACGGAAACGCTGTATTCTCGTGCGCGGACGCATATGGTCACAGCCACTGGGGCCTTCGGTGGAGCTTCCTATGCGGCCACGAAACGGCGTCGTGGGTGGCGCGGGGCGCATGTGGTCTCAGCCACTCGGGCATTTGGTGGAGCTCCCTATGAGGCCACGAAGCGCTGTACTGGGATGTTGCGGACGCATGTGGTCACAGCCATTGGGGCCTTCGGTGGAGCTCCCTATGAGGCCACGAAATGTCGTCTTGTGTGGCGCGGACGCATGTGGTCACAGCAACTTGGCCTTTCTGTGGGGCTCCCAATGGGGCCACGAAGCGCCGTCCTGGGTGGCGCGGGCGCATGGGTCACAGCCTCGGGGGCCTTCGGTGGAGCTCCGCGCGGCCACGAAACCGCTGTACTGTGTGGCGCGGGCGCATGTGGTCACAGCCACTGGGGCTTTCGGTAGAGCTCCCTATGGGGCCACGAATCGCCTTGCTTATTGGGTTTCGCCGACGCATGTTTTCTCAGACACTGGGGCCTTCGATTGAGCTCCCTATGGGGCCACGAAGCGCCGTGCTGGGTGGCGCGGACGCATGTGGACAAAGCAACTTGGCCTTTCGGTGGGGCTCCCTATGGGGCCACGAAGCGCCGTCCTGGGTGGCGCGGACGCTTTCGGTGGAGCTCCCCATGGGGCCACGAATCGCCTTACTTATTGGGTGTCGCGGACGCATGTGGTCACAGCCATTGGGGCCTTCGGTGGAGCCCCCTCTGGGGCCACGAAGCGCCGTCTTGGGTGGCGCGGACGCACATGGTCGCAGCCACTGGGCCCTTCGGTGGAGCTCCACGCGGCCACGAACACGAAGTACTGGGTGGCGCGGACGCATGTGGTCACAGCCACTGGGGCCTTCGGTGGAGCTCCCTATGGGGCCACGGAGCGCCGTACAGGGTGGCGCGGACGCATGTGGTCACAGCCACTGGGGCCTTCGGTGGAGCTCCCTATGGGGCCACGAGCAACTTGGCCTTTCTGTGGGTCTCCCTATGGGGCCACGAAGCGCTGTATTCTCGTGTGCGGACGCATGTGGTCAGCCACTGGGGCGTTCGGTGGAGCTCGGCGTGAACGCATGTGGTCAGCCTCGGGGACCTTCGGTGGAGCTCCCTATGGGTCCACGAAGTGCTGTTCTGTGTGCGGAGGGCAGGGGCAGGACTCGGAGGAAGGGGAGGAGGGGCGAGGAGGAGAAGGAGGAGGAGGAACGCGGGGCGATGTCTCTTCAAAACGGGGACCCAACATCACTGGATGGTCGGGGCACAAAGTATTTGGGTGACGATGTTCAGGAAGATCTGAATGATAATCTGGAAAGGGGCCTGAAGGAAGATGGTGAGGAAGATCATCTCCTTCCAGATCTATCTTCAGATCTTCCGACATCTCTTCTTCGGGATCATCCCCCAGTTGTTTCTCCATGGTCCTCCCTCTGTTCTTTCTGTACTTCATCCATAGTTCATTCGGTTTCTTTTCCCAGATCTTTCTCCAGATCTTCCAGTCGACCTTCGCCTAGCTCCTCATGGGGAGCATTCTTTAAGTTCGTCCCCCAGTCCCCTCTTTGAATCTCCCCCTAGGTCTCCTTCCAGATGTTTTGTCGAGTCTTATCTCAGATCTTTCTCCATCGATCTCCTTCCCCGTATTTTCTTGTAATCTTCCTCCTGAACTTTCACCGGATCCTCCTCCAGATCCTAGTTGGGACCATCCACCCAGATTTTCCTCCAGCTCATCTTCAAGATCTTTCCATTCTATCTTTCTCCAGAATGACCCAGATTGTTTCCAGATCTTTATCCAGATGTTATTCGGGAGCCTTCCCCCAGATGTTTCTCCTGATCTGATTCGGGACCATCCCCGAGATCGTCCTCTAGATCTCCCCCACATGTTCCACCATATATGTTTCCGAGTTTTGGTCGGGATCTTCCATATCTTCCTCCCACAGATTCCCCCTCCTTGAGTTTCCCACATATCTTTCCTGGATCTTATTCAAGTTATTGGTCCATATCATTATCCAGATCATCCCTCCAGACCATCCTCCACGTATCTTCATCTAGATATTTCCCTTGCTCTTCTCCCAGATCTTCGTTAGCATTCGCAGGTATTTCTGTAGATCTTCCTATAGATCTTCCAGACCTTCCTCTGGATCTTCTTCGGCATTTTCCTCCCAGATATTATCCCATATGTTTCTCCAACTATCTCCATGCTTTTGTTCCAAATATTATTCGGGATCTCCGCCACACAGATTTGCCTGCAGAGATTTCCTCCTGATCTTCCTCGAGATCTTCTCCCCAGATCGTCCTCCAGATAGTCATTGGAATCTTCTCATAGGTCTCCGCCAGATTCTCCTCCAGATCTTACTCGGGATGCCTCCGGATCGCCCTCCAGATTTTTCCATTAGATCATCCCTAAATGGTCTTCCAGATGTTTGGCTTCTTCCTTTGGATCCTTCCCTTGACATTCCTACACATGCTTCCCCCAGGTCGACCTCCGGATTTTCTTCCAGATCCTTCTCCAGATCTGCTTTCGGCTGTTCCTCCAGATCTTCCCCTGGACCCTCCCTCAGATATCCTCCTAGATCTTCCTCCAGATCTTCCGGACATTGTGCGGGATGTTGTTTTCAGATCTTCTTCCAGATATTGCTCTAGACCGTACCGCAGATATTCCTCCAGATCTTGCTCCAGATCTGTCTCCAGATCTTCCTCTGGAGCTTCATATACATCTTTCGCCAGATCTCGCCCCGAGCACAAGCCTCGATGTCACCCCCTCAGCACGACCCGCTACCACAACCCCTGGCATGGCCATCCCGCTACAGTCGGGGCCCTGAAGAAGGAACCCTTTTCGTTGGGGAGGGGCTCGGTGACCCGGTGTTCCTTGCTTGTTCTGCAGTGTACCTTCGGTTCTCCTGAGGTTTCCCATGGGAAATCGAAGTTCAATTTATGGAAGAAAGGGGCCTCGTTCCTTATTTAGGGTTCCTGAGGTCAACGCCCCGACTGTAGCACAATCTCCGACACCACCATCCATCGGCGCAGTCACCCGCACAATCTTCCTCGCAACCACCAGTGCGGGCACCGCGCTGCGTCGAGAAATTGCACGCTTCCAGAGCTGGCCCTCGCAAGAGGGTTACGAACTTCAGCGAGGCTGGGCCTCTACTTTTTATGCTGAGACTGCTTAGCATCAGCTTCGAGTGTGATCCTCATGGTCGTCCTTGTGATCGCAGGGGGCTCATTTCCCGTCTCCTCCGCCTTCTCTCCCTGGCGGAGGCCCTCCTCCCGCACATGATGTGCGGACCTCGACGGGAGACTTCCCCGTGATCCACCCACAGACACGCTCTGCCCCCTTAGGGTGCTCAGGTGCGATGCCTGCTACGCTACGCCGGCGAGCCGCTCGATTTACCACCTGGAGGTCGGGACCCCACAGGGAGAGGGCTTCCGCTCGAGACTTTCTCGCGGTTCGCTCGCACGTGGGGCTCCCGCTTGAGACCTCCTCGGGGTGTGAGAGAGAGAGGGAGAACAAGGGACAGAGAGGGTGAGTGAGCGAGTGTGCGACTGAGTGCGGGCTGGGGGGCGTGCGTGAGCGTGTGCATGTGTACGGCTGTGGGAACTGGGTGGTTGCGATGCTGCTGCTGCTGATGACGATGATGATGATGCCGATGACGATGACGATGACGATGATGATGATAATGATGTTGATGATGATGATGATGATGATGATGATGATGATGATGATGGCGATGACGATGACGATGGCTCTGAGGGTGACGGTGGCAGTGAGGGTGACTATGATGATGATGATGATGATGATGATGATGATGATGATGATGATGATGATGATGCTGATGCTGATGCTGATGCTGATGCTGATGCTGATGCTGATGCTGATGCTGCTGATGATGATGATGATGGTGATGATGATGATGATGCTGTTGCTGCTGATGATGATGATGATGACGACGAGGAGGTGGAGGAGGAGGAGGAGTGTAGAACGGCGAGAGGAGGGGGGGTGAGGCTTCTGCTGTGTGTGTATGTGCAGAGAATACAAAAGCCCACTTGGATATGAGGGGACACTCTGAGGATACTCTATGTGTGTTCGGCCTCTCGCGGCCTTTCTGGGGGCCTCTTGGGGGCCTCCTTTGGGCTTCGCAGGGCCTCCTGAGCCCTCTTGTGGCGGACGACTCGGGTTGTCGGTTCGTGGTCCCCCTCTCGGGCACTTCTCGAGGCCGTCTTGGCGCCCTCTTGATCAGTCTTGGGCGCCTCTCGGACCGTCTTGGGGTCCTCTTGTGCCGCCTTTGGGCTCTTCTGGGGGCTCCTTGGGCCGTTTTGGGGCAGTCTTGGGCAGTCTTGGGCAGTCTTGGGGGCCTCTTGGACCGCCTTGGGCTGTCGGACGCCCGGAAGGCGAGGGCCTCGAACCCACGGGACATCCTGAGGACCATGCACGGGTATCTCTTCTCCAGGGCCTCTTCGGAAGGCTCTCGGGGTTCTCTTGGGACATCCCGTCTTGGTGCCATCCTGGGCCGCCGCGCCATGCTGGGCCGCCTTGGAGGCATCTTGGCCTCGAGGGGCGCGAGCCTGTACCCTGCGAGGAAGCGTGGCCTCGGGAGGAGGGGCGGTGCGGGCAGTTCGGCGTGGGGAGGCGGTCGCAAGGGGGTGGCCTTTAGAAGCTCACCGAAGCCCTGCCAGACAGAACTTGGCATCCTAGCGCGCCCCAGCGTGCCAGGTGGGCACGGCGACGATCTGCGGTTTAAGTACAGAGGCGACGCAATCGCTGGTGCATGGCAGCCCACGGGCGTCGTCTTCAGGAGTGCAGAGGATGTGCCATTCGAGCCCATTGGCCTGCGGTCCCTGCAGTCGTCTGTTCCGTCAAACCCACCACCACCAGAGTCACAGTATACGAGCCCGAATGAAGGGCGCTCGGTGTTACTGAGTTGCAAGAGCAGTACAGCGCGGAACCGAACGATGCGCAATGTTTTGAAAACGAAGTTCAATAATGTAGAGCTTGTGGACGGCGACAGGACTTTTTTCGGCGATTTCCACGCGGACAAAGTTGACATTCTGGCCTACATGGGCTACAATGTTTATGCCAATGCTGTCAACCTGACAACTCACCCTAGGTGCTTCATGACGAGCAAGCGTAATGAGCAAAATCAGATAGAGTGGTCTCTTGACGAAGACGGGAATGTTGACAGGCACGGGGAGAAAGTGACTGTGAGTGATGTCGACGAGCGTTGTGAAAGGTCAGCGGATACATGGCATGATGTGCAGACCGACAGGATCAGAGCACAACTCTTTCTGTACACTCCCAGTCACGAGCTTTTCACGAGGATCCTGGTCGAGTGGCACATTGAGATGTCGGGGAAATTCACCCCCGCATTCCATGTTGAAAGCTTCCAAGAACTCAAGAGCACTGATCGGTACACTGCTTGGATTTCTTTGACACTAGTGCAGGTGGGTTTGGGTGTGTTGCAGTTCGTCTTGATTATACGCCGGGTGGTCATCGAAATCCGCGAACGAAGGCTGTATCCGCGTGCATTGGCGTGCACCAGCTCTGAGAACATCGCAATTTCATGTGGGCTTCTTCTGCAGATCGGGTTCATGGTATTCTACATCACAAGGATTGCACAGGAGATGGATGGGGGAAACTTGTGGCCATTGATTGAACAAGTCTTATCAATCAACCCTTACGCAAGCGAGGAGGCTGCGATGAATTTCATGTTGAGTCAGAACGCACTTGTTGACCGTGCCCAGTCTTTCCAACATCATCGGGTAACGGGGTTTGCGTTAGTTTTCGTATCTTTCCTGCAGATTGTAGATTACATGAGCGTGCACCCTCAGTTAGGCGTGATCCCAAACACCTTGTCATTGATCGTCGCCCAGCTGATCAACTGGATAGGCATCTTCGTGGTTGTTTTTTTGATGTTGGTCATGTTGGGCCATTGGGCGTTCGGAGAGCAGGTCGACGACTTTTCTTCTGTGTCTAAGACTTTGATCCTAAGTGGCAACCTCGCCCTTGGCAATTTTGATTTTGCGGTGCTCGCGTCCGAAATACACGAGACGGCCGATATTGTGCTCCTGGTTGTGTGGGAGTCCGCCACGTTGGCTTCAGTCTTCCTGGTGCTCCTCAACTTCTTGCTTGCAATTGTCGTGGATGGGTATTCGGTGGTGAAGGTTAGCAGTGAATGCTGTGCGGCGAATGGGTTCCTGATCGACCTGTTCAAGTTTGGCAAGGTCCAGTACATGTACAGCAGGCGTGGTTGGCCGAAGAGGGCGTTCCTTCTCCAGCATTTGATGGAACTGCCCGACCAGGTGACCGTTGAAGACATCCACAGAACCGGCGCTTTCCGCCAGGACGGGGATGGATCTGATGGAACGTCAGAGTGCCAGGTTTGCGGCGTTGCGTGCCAGGATTAGGGGGACGAGAAATAACATAAACATAAAAACTTGAAGGTCCTCGCGGATTTCTCGGATGGGCGCTGGGCCCCCCTCCCTGGCGCGCGGAGCGCGCCAGGGGCGGCGCCGGAGGCGGGGGTCCAGCGCCCATCCGAGAACTCCGCGCGGACCTTGAGTTTTTATGCTTACGTCATTTGCTCGTTCCTCCGAGGACGGGTGCGGCGCCGTGCGCCAGGATGGGGACGGATCTCACGGAGCGTCGGAGTGCCAGGCCTTCTTTGACGCCTACCGCGAGGTACTCAACGAGCTCCCAGGGGCGAGGAAGCTCGCGACGCGGAGGGCGGCCAAAGACATGGAGCACAGGGCCAGGGATGCGGACCTCAGGAACTCCGTGCTCGCAAGGATTGATCAGCTTGCACGGCAGCTCGGGCGCGACGCCCCGCCTTCGGGGGAGGGCGGCTCCCACCTCATCGTGCCTCCTGGTGATCCTGGTCTCGCCTGATCCTCACGGGCCGAGCTCCCGCCTGAGCCTTGCGAGGGGTTTCCTGATCTGAGCCGGATCCCTGCCTCACGTCCTGTTCGCGGCATCATGCAAGCACTGAGCCTTGGGCGCCTCCAGCGTCACACCGACTCAGTCTCACCCCCGTTGCCGCCGGGAGCGCCAGGCTGGGAGTCTCGACGAACGCCGAGCCACTCGCTGCCTACAAGTGTGCTCCGCGGCTGGTCTGCTGGACGCCCCTCCCTGCTCCCCTCGTCTCCTGCCTTTCCATCCACATCCTCGCCACAGTCGCCGTCCCCCTCCTAGTCCTATCGACCTCCTCCCTCTCTCCCCTGAAAGCCGGTGTAACTTTTCGGTCTTTGCCCCCGCGGCCACTGGGCACAGCCAGGACACCCTGCGGCACCGGCTTGCAGCGTTTCCAGTCCTCTGGCTCCTCATGACCCCTTCCAGCCCTCTGGTCCTCTGGTCCTCTGGCCCTCTGGTCCCTCCCCAGACCCCCGACGTCATGATTTTTTCATAACGCCGGCCCCGAGTGGTCTCGACCCATGCCCCGGGACCGTCTTCTCATCCTGAGTAATTTTTTGACGGTCCCGAGGCCAAGCGAGGGCCCCCAGAGGCCAAAAATGGCGAAAATCCTCGTGTCATGATTTCTTCATTACTCGAGGGGGTCTGGGTCTGTTCCTCTGGTCCTCTGGTCCTCTGGTCCCCCGATCCTTCGGTCCTCTGGCCCTCCAGTCCCTTCGGTCCTCGGGTCCTCTGGTCCCTACGGCGTCCTCCTGTCTCTGGTCCTCCAGTCCTCTGGTCCTTTTTGGCCCTCCGTCCCTCTGATCCTCCGGTCCTCGGGTCCTCTGGTCCTTCATGCAATCCCTCGGTACCCATACCCCCTCGCGCTGTGAAAAAATCACGACGGGAGGGTTTTCGCCATTTTCGGTTCCGGGTTCCCAGGGCCCTTCCTGGACCTCGGGACCGTCAACAAACGATTCAGGATGAAAAACCCATCCCTGGGGAGGGGTCCAGATCTCGGGGGTCGACGCTGTGGAAAAATCACGACGTCGGGGGTCTGGGTACTCAGTGCTCTCCTCTGGGCTGCCGGGGCGTGGGGCTGGGACGGACTCCAGGTGGGGCCCGTCATGGCGATGCCGAAAGAGGGGTCTGTCCCTTTGAGGCAGCCTATTCGACGGGTCTGGCGTGGTTCCGCCACCATCTGGGCGCCATCAACCCAGACCCCCTTGCGTCATTCAAAGTCGCGGCGCGAAGTGTCGTTATTTTCGGCCTTCGGGGGTCCTCGCTGGGCCTCGGGACCGTCAAATAATGACTCAGGATGAGAAGGCGGTCCCCGGGAATGGGTCGAGACTTCTGGGGGTCGACGTGATGAAAAGATGCTGACGTCGGGGGTCTGGGCATATGGCGCAACCTATTCCACGGGTCGGGCGAGGTTCCGCCACGCTCCGGTCGCAACCTACTTAAACCGATCAGATATCTTACGAAGAAGCGGGACATTTCGTGGACCCCAGAGATCGCTCAAGAGAATCAAGCATCTGGACTGGATCCTGAACGTGTTCTTGAAGCTTCTTTCCTTCGCAGAGCGCTGGCATATCTGGACCTGGACTCCGAAAACGTTTCGAGCGAAGCCGATTCTTAGCGTACCAATAATTCAACTCTACGCTTAGGTCGGGCCTGTCCCTCGACATGAGGAATGCTCGGGACGATTGTTCGACCATTTTTGATCATTTTGGGAGCATTTTTTGACTTCTTTCAATCTTTAGTCCAACATCCCCCTGTAGGGGGACAGGCCCGACTTAACTCTACGCAGGGGTGCATGTCGCAACCTGTGGGACACCTGTGACGCCACTTGGACTGCGCCTCGTATGCAGCACCTCCTGGGTGCAGCGGCTCCCTGCTTTGGGTCCACGCTGGCAAGCACTTCTTCTTTTCTGATGCCAAGGCAGATTCCGCTCCTCAGCAGCGTCGAGGCGAGGCGTTATGCGTGACGAGCGAACAACTCATACCCATAGGAGTGTCGAAAGGAGGAGAACTGGCTATGGGTATGTGTGCGAGTTGTCGGACCCTGGGCCCCCCATCCGACAACACGCATCCATAGCCCCCTCCGCCCCCCCTATGGGTATGGGTGCGTGTTGTTCGATCGTCAATGCAAGCATTTCTTCATGTTATGCCGAGGCGTTCCGCTCCCCAGCAGCGTCGCAGCACTTCGGATTCACAGCGGCTTCGCACAGTGGAGTCCCATGCCAAGAAACACCCTGCTTGCCTCCAGGGCGCCCTGGGTTTCTTGGGTTTCGATGGCTTTTCTATGGGAAGCGTGACGTTCCCACGCAAAACATCAGTGGACGTCCTGGGGTCTCAGGGTTGGGTTTCTTGTTGAAGGTTCCTTGTGGTCGGACCCCTCCTGTACCGCGAAATGTGGGAGTTGGCCGCTACATGACCAGACCGCCGCATACTTAATAGCACCGCCTAGCGTAGCACGACATCCAGATCCCCCGACCCCCGCTTGCCAGGGGCGAAAAGGCTTCTGGGACACTCGACTGTCCCTTTCCCCCTTGCCCCCTCCCCCAAGGTTTAAATTCTAGACGCTTCGCGTATCCCCACCAGCCCGTCCAGAAATGAGCCCCAGGGGAGTGGAGGTGATGAGGGAAGCGGGGGAGCATGCAGAAGAACAAAGAGCGGGTTGAGCCGCCATACGCCCCAAGAGGGGCAGGATGTAGGAGGAGTCGTCGTCGTCGGAGTAGGAGGAGGAAGACGAGGAGCAGGAGGAGGAGCAGGAGGAGGAGGGGGAGGAGGAGGAGGAGGAGGAGGAGGAGGAAGATGAGGAGGAGGAGATGGAGGAGGGCGAGGACGAGGAGGACGAGAAGGAGGAGGAGGAGGAGGAGAAGGAGGAGGCGGAGGAGGGGGAGGGGGAGGAGGGAGGAGGGAGAAAAAGAGGAGGAGGAGGAGGACAATGGCGAGCTTGGGGGCCTCTTGGGCCGTCTTTGGGGCCTCTTGGCGGTCCCGGAGGCCTCTTGCGTATCTCGGGGAGCTTCTTGTGGCCTTTTGGGAGTCTCTTGGAGGCCTCTTGGAGGCCTCTTGGGGGCCTCTTGGGGCCTCTTGGGGCGCTCTTGGGGCGCTCTTGGGAGCCTTTCGGGGCGCTCTTGGGGCCATCTTGGAGGAGATCTATCAAAGAAGGGGGGAGCCTCAATTAGCCTCGCCCCTCTAGAGTGCCTCGGATCGCCTCTTGGGCCCCCCCAAGAGGCCAAAATCCTTCCAAAACCTAAGGAAAATCAATGTTTTGTGCTTTCTCGCCTTTTCGCTCTTGGAGCAGTCTTGGGCCATCTTGGGCGTCCCAACGCGTCGCGGAACGCCCCGTCCAGGTCAGTGGGGAGGGGTAAGGGGAGGGGTAAACCCCTCCCCGAAGGGAAAGAAGGGGGGTTGGCAGAGGAAACGCTCTAGACCACCTACGCCCTAAAGGGCTGGTGGGATTCTCTGTTATCGGAGGCCTAGAGCTTGACACCAACACCAAAATCGGCGGTGTGCTTCTACAGAGGGACGATGCTCCCAATCTCGGTGATGGTGGTCATATTCGGGCTTCTAGGTGGCCGACATATTTCAAGGGAGGACAAACCACCCAGACGGGACACTTGGCGTTTACTAAACGGCCCTGGGCGTTTGCTAAACATCCCTGCCCTGTTTGATTCCTTCTTTGCGTGCGTTTACTAAACGGCTTCGCTTGTAGGGGAGATGATGATCGGGGGAGGATCTTCCGCCCCCTAATGCTACTACCAACACCGAAGTCGAGGATCATCTTCTCGCAGTGGAGGCAGCCTCGCGTGGTGGTGTTGGCGACCATCTCGAGGCTTCTAGTGTTAGAGGGCGGAGCCGGGAGGGACAGCGCGCTCACCAGCGTACCCCCCGGGCGCCCCAGGAGGCCCCACAGAGCCCCGAGGCAGCCCACGAGGTCCAGAGCGGAGCACCAAGACAGTCCAAGGGAGCGTCGAGACAGCACAGGGTACAGTCGACCCGCGTGTGGTCGTTTTTTTATTCGTTGTTTTGCCGATCTGCGCGGACCTCCCCTCCCCCCCCCCCCCCTCCGCTGGAGTGGATCTCGGCTGTTTTTGGGGCGCCTGTTTCCAGCAGGTGGAGCCTCCCCCGTAATGGACGCCCTGGTGCAAACAGTCGCGCGAAGCAGAGGTCTGGAGCCAGACCCCCCCCCTCTCCACCCCCCCTTCCTCCCAGTGTCGAAGCGCCGAGTAAAAAAACGCTCACAAGGATGGGCAGCCTTCCCAATGGGTACCCTTGCATCCTTGCCTCCTCGGCCCATCCTTGGCCTCTTTTGCCGCGCCCCGCTCGAAAAGCTTCGAAACAGCTCTCCGAGGCCCTTGCATCCTCATCGTGCGTCCTTATGATACACTGGGGGGTGTTAAGTGTATGTCGGGCGTGTCCCCCTACAGAGGGATTTTCGACGAACAATTAAAAAATACTCCGAAATACCCCGAAAAGGTCAAAAGATACTCAAACAACAGTCCACATACTATTTTTGGACTATTGTTTGCTTATTTTGGGGGTCCTTGTTTATTTTTCGTCGGAAATCCCCCTGTAGGGGGACACGCCCGACATAATGTTAAGTCGGCGCCGGCGACGCCGGCTTCCAGCTCGAGCGCTGGAGGCATTTTCAAACACGGCCCTGTCTCCAGCGATTGTGGCTGCAGATGTTATGCCTGCTTGCGTTTTGTTGTGATGCTACGCTGAGCCAGCCGCGGCCCCAGTAGGGGACTTGCACTGTGCTCGATGTCTGCTCATGGGAGCCTTGGGCGGCGACATTGCAATCCGCGTTTCCTGCATCTGGACCGCGCAGGGGCCGCATTTGGCCCATCCTCCTGCTCCTCCTCTCCCCTCCTGTTCCCCCTTGTCCTCCTCGTTCTTCCAGCCCCCGCGAATCCACTCCAAATCTGGTCCAAATCTGGTCCAAATTTGTTCCAAATCCTGTCCAAATCCTGTCCAAATCGGGCAGCGCCGGGAGCCACGCAGGCTCCCATGGAACGGACACCAAACATTGTGCTGCCTCGCCAAAGGCAGCGCCCACCCCCCGAGGATCGCGTCCGCCAACTCGGCATGCCACTCGCGAGGCTCGACTCTTGGGGAAGCTCCAGGCGCGGCCCCGGTGGAGGAACTTGCACATCATCACATCTCCAAACTCGGCACACCCCTCACGAGGATCGTGCTCCACAGGGAGCCCCAACTACGGTCCCAATGGAGGAACTCGCATAGCACCACGTGGCCTACTTCGGCGCACCACTCACGAGGATCGTGCTCCACAGGGAGCCCCAATTCCGGTCCCACTGGGGCAACTCTCATTGCACCACGTGGCCTGATTCGGCGCATCCCTCGCGAGGAGTGCGATCCACAGGGAGCTCCAGCTATAGCACCACCAGCGACATCCGCATAGCGTCACCTTGCCTAACACTACGCACCCCTCGCGAGGATCGCTCCTCCCCAGAATCTCTAACTACAGCCCCAGGTGAGAAGTGCCAAAGCGCTGACTGGCGCGATTCGGCGCACCACTGACGAGGACTGTGCTCTACTGGAAGCTCCAACACCGTCCCAGTTGGCTATGTTCTATGGGAAAATCAGGGTTCCAGACAACCTAAAGATGCCTGAACATCGCAGAGAAGACCTCAGGAGAGCCCCAAGGGGCTCCAAACGGCTCCCAATAGGACCTGCCGACACCCCAGAAGACATTCACAACGGCTCCAAGAACCCAAGACAGTCCCAGAGGGCACAATACCCCCCTACGAGTGTAGTTTCTTTAGACGTCTCTTCAGCTCTCGGGGGACATGCTTTGAACACGTCTCGAGATATTTTTTCAAGACTCGAGATCCTTTTCAAGACTCGAGATCGTCGTGTGGGCTTCCACGATGTGTTTATGATGCTACGTCTGTTGCACATGTGCCAGAGTAGAGCGAAAGCGTGCGCGTGGTTTTCTTGTGCGCATGCATTCACACATCCATGCATCCACACCTTTCTTCGTCCACGCACATATTTCTCTATCTACCAACGTCTCCATGCCCTCAGGCCCCATTCAGACATTATGTACCATATGAATGAGTAGGTTCCCCCCCCTCCCGGCCTGGGCCGGCCGACCCCGCAACCATCGGCGGAAGCCCGCTGATACCCCCCCCCCGCTTCGCTCCCCACAGGCGGCCCCGAGAGGCCAAGAGGGTGCCAAAACGAGCCAAGAGGGTTCCAAGAGGCCCCCAAGACGGCGCAAGACCGTCCCGAGCTGCCCAATACGGCCCAGAAGGACTCCCAGACCACCCCCAGGAGGGACCCAAGAGGCCCAAATCATTACATTCTCATGGGGAAACGTACATTTTTAGCATGTACGAGTTTTCATCTTTCGCAGCCTTCAAGACGGACCAAGAGGCTCAAAAGACTTCCCCTAGACAGCCCAAGACGTTCCCACGAGGCCCCCCAGCCAGCCCAAAAGAGCGCCAAGACGACCTAAGGGCCGCCTAAGACGGCCAAGTTGGCCCCAAGACGGCGCTCAAGACGGCCCAAGAAGGCCCCGAGTCGCCCAACACGGCCCAAAATGGCCCCAAGATGGTCCAAGAAGGCTCCGAGGCGTCCCAAGAGGCCTCCAAGAGCACTCCCAGGAGGAGCCACAATCGTTGAATTCTTATGGGGAAGCGTGCATTTGTAGCATATGCGACTTTTCGGCCTTCATTGCTTTGAAGACGGCCAAAGAGGCTCCCAAGACTTGCCCAAGCTTAAGACAGTCCCCAAGAGGCCCTCAAGACAGCCCAAAGAAGAGGGCCAAGACGTCCCACGGGCTGCCCACGACTGCCCAAGTTCGCCCCAAAACGGGCCCCAAGAGGGCCCAAGAAGGCCAGGAGTCGCCCAACCCGGCCCAAGATGGCCCCAAGAAGGTACAAGAAGCCTCCGAGACGTCCCAAGCCAAGAGCATTCCCTAGAAGATCCCAAGAGACCAAATTCGCTACATTCCTGTAGTCGAAATATACGATTTTGAGCCTTCACGGCTTTCAAGGCGGTCCAAGAGGCCCCACAGATTCCCCGAGCGAGCCGACGACGCTCCTATATATATATATATATATATATATATATATATATATATATATAATGTATATATAATATATATATATATATATATATATCCTGCGCACCAAGCAAGGGGGCCCTGGAGGGGGCCCCCGACACTCCATGGCGGGACCGGGCCGCCAGGGCCGCCCCCGGACGGCCCAAGACCGCCCCAACACAGCTGAAAAGTGCCGCGACAGGCCTCCAAGAAGCCTGCAGTCGCGGAAAGCCTTCAAGAAGCCTTCAAATATCGTTCTAGCACGCCCAAGATGGCCTCCGCATGGACCACAAGGCTTCCAACACGGCCCAAGGGGTCCCCAGGAGCAGTCCCAAATGGGCCCCAAGAAGCCAAGAGCGTGGATTTTCCTTAGGCTTTTGGTTCATTTAAGCGCTTCTGCCTTTTCCCCATCCCCACGCTCCAATACTGTCCAGTACACCCAGAAATCTTCCAAACAGGCTTCCACCGCGCCTCCGAGACGGCCCAGGTCCGCCTCCTGACGGCTCCAGAAAGCCCTAACACCGTTGAAAAGGGCCGCAAGAGGCCTCCAAGAGGCCCCGAAACGCGGACGGATCGTCCGAATACGCCCAAGATGGCCTCCAGATGGCCCGCGAGGCTTCCAACACTGCCCACGGGGTCCCCGAGAGCATACCCAAACGGGCCACACGAAGCCAAAATCATGGATGTTCCTTCGGTGTGGGGCACATTTCAGCGTTCCTGCCTGTGCAGCTTCCCGACGCTCCAAGCCGGTCCCGAACACCCGAATATCGCTCCAACAGGCCCCCACGAGGGCGCCGAGACGACCCAGGCACGCCCCCAGACGGTCCCAAACAGCCCTAATACATTTGAAAAGGGCCGCGAGAGGCCTCCAAGAGAGTTACGGTCACCGAGCTATCGTTCTAACACGCCCAAGATGGCCACTGGATGGCGAACAAGGCTTCCAGCACAGCCCAAGGGGGTCCCCACGAGAACACCCCAAAAGAGCCCCAGAAGCCAAAATCATGCATGTATTCTTTCCCAACCATCCTGTGGTGTTGGGTCTTCGTTTTGAAGAGATCGCCCCGCGTTCCTCCTCCTTCCTCCTTCCTCCTCCCTCCTCCCCTCCTCTCATCATCATCATCATCATCATCATCATCACCATCATCATCATCACCATCATCATCATCATCATCATCATCGTCATCATCGTCGTCTCCCCCACCCAGTACAACGTTTCGTGGCTCCATAGGAGCTCCGCCGAAGGTCCCAGTGGCACAGTCCGCACGCGTCCCCGCCACTCATTTCGGCACACCCCTCACACGTTTTGTGGCCCCACAGGAGCTCCGCCGTAGGTCCCAGTGGCACAGTCCGCATGCGTCCCCGCTATTCATTTCGGCCCACCCCTCACACGTTTCGTGGCCCCACAGGAGCTCCGCCGAAGGTCCCAGTGGCACAGTCCGCATGCGTCCCCGCCACTCATCTCGGCTCACCCTCACACGCTTCGTGGCCCCATAGGAGCTCCGCCGAAGGTCCCAGTGGCACAGTCCGCATGCGTCACCGCTATTCATTTCGGCACACCCCTCACACGTTTCGTGGCCCCATAGGAGCTCCGCCGCAGGTCCCACTGGCACAATCCGCATGCGTCCCCGCCATTAATTGCGGCACATCACTCACACGTTTCGTGGCCCCATAAAGGGACTCCACCGAAGGTCTCCGTGGCGCAGTCCGCATGCGTCTCCCTCACCCAGTACCGCGTTTCATGGCCCCACATGGAGCCCCACCGAAGGTCCCCGTGGCGCAGTCCGCATGCGTCTCCCTCACCCAGTACAGCGTTTTGTGGCTCCACAGGGAGCCCCACCGAAGGTCCCCGTGGCGCAGTCCGCATGCGTCTCCCTCACCCAGTACAAGGTTTCGTGGCCCCATAGGGAGCTCCAGCGAAGGGCCACGACGAGAGCCTCACGGGTGAACTCACGGGCCTGCTGGTGTTCATTGAGCCTCGCACGTCGGAACCGTTCACTTTCCGCACTTCCAAGGTCACCCCAACGGGCTTCCCGTGCTCGCACGGCAGGGTCATCACCACGGTGGCGTGCCAGGGGCGCACCATGCGCGAAGGCCACGGGGCGAGTGAACGGTGCTCTGGGGCAGTTTTCGGCCAGACCTGCTGGGCGCGAGCAGTCCGCAGCCAGACCTTCTCTCGGTCCCGTGGACTCTCGCCCTGGGCCGTCGCCTTTCCAGCGCGCTGCTCCTTCGGCCGACATCACCCAGGCGTGATCCTGGACTGCGGCCGCCACGAAATGGGGAACGGCAAGAAGGAGGACGACGACTGGTGGCTGGAGCTCTACGCGCTGCTCTCGCGCGCCACGCGCCACGAGGACCTCCTGCTCATCGGGCGCCGCGCATCGAGTTCTTCCCAGCAGGGCCGCCGGAGGGCTTGCGGAAGCAGCTGGAGCAGTTTGCTGCGCGCGCGAAGCGGTGCAGGAGGGAGGCGACGGCCCTCGCCAGGGAGCTGGGCTTCACCGAGTTTATCCGCGAGGCTTGATCTGAGGAGCGGCCCGCCCGAGCCTCGCCGTCTCTCGGCGGTCTGACTACTTGTTTGGCCTCGCGCCGCGGTCGACCCGCGCGCGTCGCTGGGACCCTCTTGGGGCGACCAGCGCGCGTCGCAGGAACTCCGCGCTGCGTTCTGCACTGCGCCTCGCCCGCCCGTCGTCACACTGCCCAGCGGCAAGAGCCTTGCCCGCTATCAGCCAGCCTGCTAGCTCTCTTTGCTCCACGCAGCGGACGACCCGCGCGCGTCGCTGGGACCCCTCCTGGGCGACCGGCGCGCGTCGCGAGGGCTCCGCGCTGCGTTCTG